TCCCCTCTTGTGTTAAAACACAAATACTTGGAAGCGTTTTATTCATTCGACCGCGTTGAACTCTCGCCGTAGTAGTAGTATAGTAAGTTATCCCCTCGTTACAAAATACTACAATGGGAAATTCATTTTCAAATCCTCCACAACTAACCGACAAAGTAAAATATTGTCATGGTTAACGCCCGCATAAACATATACAAACCGTAAGAGATTGACTAGATAGAAAGCACGAAAATATCTGTATTTTAAGTGTATGCGTTTTTGGCTACAGCAAACGTCTTACCCCCTTGGTCTTTATCTTTTTTTTTTTTACCAACAATATAGCACTTGGCTGACGAGAACTTTATCTATTTTAAAACAAGCAAGAAGTATCCAGGTAAACGGATTTCGACCTTCGCGGGGAGGTGTCGATTTTTGGTAATTTTTTTTTTTTGGATTTTTAAAACGTGCCCGCCCGCCGAATTCCCTGACCGATGGGACGACTTGGTACTCTGCATAGGTACACGGTATCTCGTCGGTTAGGTACCTGAGGAGCCGCGGACTCTGATATAGAATATATACATTGTTGTGATAATAACTGAAACATATTATACCTATACATTATATTGTATTGAATGAATGCACACGTCGAGGAACCAACAGAATAATATGGTTACGACATTCCGCGGTCGCCACTGCTGCCGGTGTAGTAAGTAGTATATTGTACATAACGCCAAACACATGCACTACTACTACATGGCTACTGTATTTTTTTCTTATAAGTGTCTTATGTGCCACGTTGCCGTTTCTGCTGCTGCTGCTGCTGTTCGGTGTTTGTCCGGTCCGACGGTTTTCACTCATGGAAACGTTTTTTAGCACAATATTCGCGTTTTGGCGAGTCCAAAGACGGTTTTTTAAATAACACATTAAATGTTTCATTTCAACACCGTCACCGTCGACGTGATAACGAATCAAGGGGGTCATTACGCCGGTTAATATAATATACAGGGTGATTTATTAAGGATAAGACTCGACTCATTTTAGTATAGTAAAGTATCATGTTCAAACGGTATGTGTGTTTTATGCCCCATTCAGAAAGGTCATGTTTCATTTAGAAACTGGCCAAGTGTTAAGCGATACAAATAAAAGAGCAGTGTTGCTGTTCATGAAAGAAGGAGTGAGGTTATTAACTAAAAGCAGACTTGGCCACAATGTAGACATCACTATTTTGATAGGTTTTTGTTGGAGATTATATTTTCAATTCACAAGATAGCAGCGTAAGGGTGCATCGTTGTTATTTTTTTGATAAATATATTATACATAATACCATTACAAAATAAATTTACTCGACTGGCTGACCCACTCTTACCCTTAGGCTATTTTATTTTTACCATAGATAATAACCTAGTCCATTCAAGCTATATGGTTAAAACCTAGCCAAAGTGGTAACTTGCCATCATTTGGGAACCTCTGACCGAATGCCTACCATAGTAACAAACACCGTTTAAGAAAACCCGACTGTCTTATCGTCACTGTATCACCCTGTATAACAACAACTCTCTCCTCCTCCCCCGCACAGCGTCTGGTTCATAATAAACCAAACCGAGACACGACGTTTGAGTGGTAAGAGAACAGCAGTCGGTCACTCGAAGAAAATGTGATTTAATGTTATTATTATTGTGTCGAAAACCGAAAGTGAACGAAAACGTTTATATGATATCCAGACGCCAATCTATCAACACAAACGATTCTAATGGTCAGAGAAAAAAAAATTGTTAAAGAAAAAAATTATTGCCACGATAACTTTCTCAGAACCGAATAATATTCTATTTAACATGTTCTTCTTGTAAAATTTTAGTTGTATTCTGTACTAGAATAATACACAATTGGTACATCTGTGTGTTGTCTGTACACTGTTAATTTTATATTAGACACAGAAAGCCATTGACCTCAGAGACCTTACCTAACCTAACCTAACCACCGTCGTCGTCTGACACAGTTTTATGGTATTTTCAACGGTTTTTGTGTACTGACTGAAAAAATGTACCTTCAAATCTATTGCAAACTGAGTGTAATTACTCTGGACTGTTGGTAACACCTGTAAAACGATATCGACTTAGACCTAACCGTTTACCATCACCCAACATAAGCCTAAAGGGATCAAGAGAACAACACTTTGTACACCCTTCTCTTAGACTTATGTGGTTTGTTGTGTAGTGGCATTTTTTCACAAAGAAATAAAAATAAAACTAATCATATTTTAGCCAATTCGCAGCCGTATGCGCTGCTACTCGTGTGCAGAGCATGTAAGTGTAACATTGTGTGTGTGTGTATAGAAATAATAATAATAGCTAGAATCCTATTAACGTAACGCGGTGGAGGCGGAGACGGTGGCGGGAAAAGATCAACGACACTGTTGTCGGTTCGAAGAAATTGTTGTTGTTGAATTTTCTTTTCACTTTTTTTCCCAGCTCGTCTGGCTAAACTCTGTTCTTCTCGGTGGGTTTGGTATTTTTTTCATTTACAGGAGGAATTATAATTTAAAATACAAAAATTGTTATTACCGTTACTATTTAATATTATTGTAGTAGAAAAAATATAACAGCGCTAGAGTACTGCAGTATATATATAAATATATATATATATATATATATATATATATAGCACTTACAAACAAATTCATTAACAATTGTCGGAAATTCCGTCCCCACCTCACCTCTCGCCCACTTGTTGTTGCAAGGGAAATCGATATTCGTTTCCTTTTGTTTTTTGTGCAAGTGACTTTGTACAATAATTATGATGATAATAATATACACTGTGAACCACACCCCTTCTCCCTTTTCAATATTCATATCATATTGTAAATATATATATATATATATACAATACACAAATAAATCCGTCGATTTCGCATCAATTTTCCAGACCACCGAGAGTGATTGATGATGATATTATATTTGTACACGTTATCGGTTGTTTTATTTATTTAATTATACTATTAATTTAATATCGTAAAATAATAATTCATTTTTTATTCCAGCGGATGTCTATTTGAAATGTACACAATACCGACATGATGGATATTTTGATATTCGTTTAAGACGTTTGTTGATTTTTAACAAATTGACTTTGTTATAAATGATATATTTTCATATTATAATATATTTGATGAACCGTCAAACCGCCCTTTTCAATTCTCACACCGCAAAAACATTTAATTTGTTTAATAATTTTTTAGCAAAAATTAATTAAAATATGTGACTTTAAATTTTTCACTACAACTACAGTTATAGAGTCGTTTTTACCTACACTGGTCTGACCTAATTTGACCAATATTTACCCAAATCTAAGAAAACATTTTCGTTTTAAACATGAAAAACGTTTATTCAATTCGTTTTTAAGCGGACAACAATCCCTCGTCGATGAAAAAAAAAATAATATCCGCTTTAAAGATTATACCCAAAAAGACTGCCATAATAATATACTTAGCCTTTATGGCTATACATAATATGGTATTGTTATCATATTATTAACTTTAAAGCTTTCGACAATTGTTTTGAAAAATAAGCTTGCGGCCTTGAATTATTATTTGTTCATAAATGATATATTATTATTATTATTTGGATCATTGCAAGTCCCAGGCGCGCAGTAGTGATTATTATAAATTAATATAATATTATTATGGCGAACGGTACGCGGTTTATTATATTTTTTATTACTATTATTATTATCATATCGTTTCGGTCGGATAATTTGTACAGTAAAAAACTACTGAAAAAAAAAAAGCTATTTTACATTATACCGCTAATAATAATAGCAGGTACTAATACATAATATGTACTCATGGCTGTTACCTCGTTAACGGTATGCGTTTGTGTGTGTTTTTAAACATTACATTGGAATTATTGCTTTCCGCGTACGCGTTTCTCTACACCGTACACGATTAACATAAAAAAAATAATAATATAAAGAAATAAAAAGATGGAAACGCTGATTTTGCTCGACCTTTGCTCGAGTGTGGTGTGTTGTTAACAAACCGATTAGTCATTAATAACACAACGTTGTTTTTTATAATCTTATAAAAATAAAAATAAAACCATATTCTTTTTAACCGTACACTCGACCAACAACAATATCTCCTCGTCGAGTTGGCATCATAATATACATTTTTTTTAAAAATAATAACCTCACCTGACTAAATGCGACCCAAGTAAGTGAGTCGTGCAAAACGTTAATTATAAACGCCGTTCGGTCCGATAAAATATACATATTATGTTATCAATATGAGAAATAATATACAATATAACCAGAAGGGAAACACCTAGAGCGACTGATAAAGTGTCCGACACTGATAACCTACAATAGTTAACATGTTTTTCCCCGGCTGCAAACACTATATTATGGCTGTCGGCGGCCATTGTAATTTTGTTTTTATAAAGTTTCCCTTCCGGTTATTCTGCGATAAAATCGTTATCAATACAAGCTCTATACATTTGTTGTATTGATAGTGTGTTGATGTTGTTTTTTTACAATACACAATATTACATTTTTACATAATTCTTTGCTAAAAAAAACCTATACAGGCTGTTTTTTTTTATCAATATCTCAAAGGAATTAATTAATTATTTATTTTTCATTTTATTTTTTGATCTCGATTTTTCACTAATTATTATGTTCTTACATCCCACCCAAACTAATTATTTTTATATCTATTTTTTAAACTTAAACTGTAACGCATACACATTTCATTAACTTTTTTAATTGACAATAATGTAATTTGAGAGGGCGTTAAAACCATAAAAATTTGGGAGATATTGCATTGTTTAAAAACACTATGCAAAAGAAAAGTTAAATTACAAATTAAACCCTACTGGGTTCAGTGTTTTAAATAACTCCTGCTGATAATCATTGCTATTAAAAAGCAACAAGAGGTAAAACAAAAAAATTGTCGCACATATTTATTTTTAACTATACTTAAAACTAGTAAAAACTAAGAATGAAATGATAATAATTTTAACACTCACCAATAGCGACTTGCCGATAAGGACATCATCATTCCATGTTTTGATTCTGTTTCATTTTTTCCCCTTTCAATTTTCAAACGATTTTTTTCAAATTTTAACTAAAAAAACAAATAAAAATATTAGAACGCAATACTACAATTTATACGGTTTTTTTTTTTTTAGAAATCGCTATAAGATAAATGCACGATTTTAGACTAGCAAAGCGGTTGGTATTTTTTCTTTTACTGTCATTCAAACAATGGCGTTTTCAAAGAAGAATACCTACAGATTTTTTTTTCTATACGAATTTGTGGCGTGACGGAGTTCTTTTAAATTTGTGAAGAATTTTCCAAATTTTTCCAAAGGGAAACTACATGCCGAAATTGTATTATAGAAAAGAAAAATCGTCCAATTTCTTTTTTATAATTTAACCGCAGCGAGCGTTTCCGCTGTAGTCGCCAACTATATACGTATTATAATGTTTAATATTGTTCATTGAATAAAAAACATCAAAATTAACTACTAGGTATGCGTTCATAACCGAAATTGTGGTATTCATTCAACTTTTCTAAAATATAGCAAGCACATATAATATCCATAATTGTTTGTTGAATAATGAGATTTCCAGAATAAAAATCTACATCCTCCTCGACACAAAACAAGTCCAAAGTTCACATCATGCACTTCCAGTGGCAGTGCCAAGACATATACACACCGCTGTGTACACACAAAACTATGACTACCAAACTCATGGACAAACTTTACTCGTTACACGTCAATTAGCATCGACAATATCAAATGCCTATTAACGACCAAACTTCCATGTGTACCGTCGTCGGGTCTCATCGATCTCGCCATATTATGCATATTATATTATACACACACACACTATAATATATGTATGGATTTTGGCCAACTTCTGAGCACAATATTATAGAAATTAGGTCGCCGCATAATTAGGTAACCGACGGTTTAACAACTCTAGTCAAGTGGATAATTACCTTAAGTTATTTTCGACGGGGAGGGGGCCAACGAGGGTTGTGCCTTTATTAATTACACACACACACAATTTGTAAAGGGATTTGGAAAAGAGTTTTGGCCAAAAACCAAGAAGGGTTTTTTTTATGGTTTTTTGTTTCTATTTCCTTAACATTTTCCTGTACAGACATCAATACGGTGTTTGAAGGAGGTGCTTTGATATTAAAAAATACACAAAACATTATCGAATGACACAGGTGCGCGTCATGTCGATTATTTTGGGGCTGTTTATATGTATATGTATATATTATACTTTGTAATTCGATGTCGGCACCACTACATAAGCAACAGACGAAGCAGCAGCAACACAATATTAAGAGCTATTAAGGATAATACAACAATATTTTGACGAACCGCCATAATAGGGTGTGTTATTACATATTATACAGATATACACTCGTCGAGCAGCAGCAGAAGAAGATGAAAAAAAAACCGTCTGGTATCGCATCATTAAGAAGGAACAACGTCGTTACCGTGATGAAAGTCTGCTCTCTTCCAGGAATGGAAAACCCAAGAGGTTTTGTCGAGTAGTTAAAATACAATTTTTCGATGACAAAACTCGGTTTTAGATGAGATATTTTTCAGTCAAAAACTACTGAAATTAGCCCACCGAAGAATTATGCACAGTCGATGATGACAAAGTAACACAATATTGCAAAGACACGAGCGACCTCCTTACCACCGCCTAACAAAATATGTTGTACAATAATTCAAAATGCATATCCGCCTAAAGTAAACACTGATCAAGTCCAAGCACTCGACCAGCAATCATGGTTAAAATTTAAGCTTTGGTTAGTTTAGGTAAATATAATTGAAGCTTTGGTCAGGTTAGGTTAATCCGATTGAAGCTTTGGTCAGGTCAAGTTGGGTTTGTTAAATCCGATCCGATTGACGGTGAAAAGTAGGTACACACAAATTTGCAACCAATTCAAATAACGGCGCAAAAGAAACCGATTGTGTATGTAAGGTACGGTTACGTTAGATTAGATAAGGTCGACGTTGGGCAAAAAAAAAAAAAATCAACGGTAAGTAAATAAAAAACGAGCGTGGATTTCTCGTAGACATTGTCGTCGTCGGCGGTCGCGCACAAACGGTTATTGTTTCCTTGCGGAATAAAACGTTTGTACACCTCTACTTACATATATACACTTACTTATATACTTCTTGCTGTATACCAGACCGATCGGAATTGGATTGCGATAAACCCGACGCCGGGTTTACGAGCAAATAAAAATTACTGCCGAATAAAATGGCCAAAAGGAGTAGGAGCGGAGAGGGGCGGGGTTCAACTATAATGTAAACCTTAAGAATATTATATACCTTCTACCTTTTTAGAGAGCCTTTCGATTGGGGACGTGCACCGTTTAGAAACTTGGCAAAACTAGATCCACACACACAATATATATATATGTATATATATATATATGTGTGTGTGTGTGTGTGTGTGTGTAAAGTGTATTTACCGGTTGGAAATGTACGTTTAATTCGAAATTAAACCGTTTAGCTCGGGTTTTCTTGTCGAAAACCGTATTATACACCTCAGGCGGCTGTTCTACTCGAACGGTTTTAATTTGATTTTTTTTTCCCATCTTCTTTTCCGAGGAAAAGTTTTCATTCGGACCGACAACACCTACACGACCAAAGCACCGTGTCGTCCGCCCAAAGAAAGTATCTATACATATATATATTTATATAATAAACACAACGATATTAATAAGACACGGCGGCGGCCGAGTAAGTAAGTAAGTAAGTTTTTAATTTACAATCATATAAAATAATAAACGAGCAAAACCGGTGGGCGTAAACACTGTGGATGGATGTGATACACTCTTGTTGTTCTCGTGATTGAATTTGCCACAAGTTTTTCCACACCAGTACACACGCCCCGGGAAAAGCACAACCGCAAGTCGATGCCTAAACCTTTCAGCGACAAAACACACTTATAGAGATCTCTCCACTGAACACAACAGCTCAAACAAACTGCATGGCGAACGAACCATCGCCGAACAATATATGAAAACGTTGCAATAATCCATTACCGAGAGTGTCTGATATGTCATCATTAGAAAATACAAGATAAAATGTATCCACAATTTTTTACTTGTGTTAATTCAATTTTTTTTTTGAACGATAACAACTCTCCGGTTGAATTATTATCTAATTGTCGAGTGTACTTGTATATTAACGAGCCTATGTAATCATTTTAATCGCTAAATAATTATTTACATTAAACTCTAAGCTGTTCGAATGAAATTCTCCAAATCTCAACAAACCATTCTAGAAATATTTGTTCTGGGATAACCTTTATTTTGTTTTTTGCCAGACAAGATTACACATTTTAACCGAAAAAAAGTAACAATATACAACCAATTACAATTTTTGTTAGAATTAACATTGAAATGTATATTGTTTTAAGCTTTAGGGCTTAGAAGAATGTCTATTGTAAAATTAATGTGTCTAAAAAACCAAACTCCCAACAAACAGAATATTAGAACCCCCAAACTAACCAAGCGATATTTATTATTAACGCTGTTAATTGATTTTAGATTATGTACTTAACATTTGGCAATTAAAATACAATACTATTTTGTATAGTCCAAGAGGGATATGGACACAAGGCGGCGCCAGAACTTTTGCACCTTGTGAGCCAAGCCGATGCCAACATTTTTTTTAGAGGAGGCCAAAGTTTAACAAATTATTTGGCACACCGTTAATCGTTACACCTACTATTGTATTACATAACTAAATAGTAAAAAAAAAAACTAAAAGTAATTCATATTTTATTATACCGATAATTAAAATAGACAACAGCAGATGCACACAGTAGGCATTCTTTTGTGGTAAAACAATAATTAAAAGATTTTCAAAAAAAATATTTCGTATTTTACAAGTGTCATTTTTAATAACCGATAATAATTATTTATTTTAAAATCATAAAAATGTAGGACTAAATTTATTTAAACTCAAGGGTGGGAGGCCATGAGGACATGTAATTTTAAAACATTGTAAAAAGTCTCTTATCCTAGCACCATCCAGCCTAACCTAACAAGCACAGTCCAGTTCCAAAAGAGTCGATGAAGATTTAAATGAGACTTTGAAATGCCCAAAGCGTTTATCCAGTTTAGTGTGACATTACCACAGTTTAATAACAGAAAAAAAAACCAATATAATAGTATATTATATTATGCATTATATTTATCGATTATCTGCCAGAAAACCGTCGGCTTAAAACGCGTGCGATTGACCTATTGACAAGATAAATGAAAAAAAAAACAATTATCACTATTGTGTATTTTCGAGGTCGAAAATAATTGTTTTTGTTTTTTTTTTTTACAAATTGCAAGTGGTAAACAAAACTCAAATTGCTATAGGAAAAAATCGTTTGACGGCCGCGATTAAATTTTACTACCGTTTAATAGGCGATAGTATAGTTATTATATAGGATTATTATGTACTAACAATTTTTTTTAATTAATAAAAGAGTTAAACGGCCACAGGCGACGACCTGTCTCTCTCAACGGATTACATAATATAACAGAGCAACAGTTATAATACTAAAAATAACATTAATAATAATATGCAAATCATAATTTAATATTGCCAACGATAATAGGGTTAGACCTACGCCATGTTTTGTTTGTCTACAACGACAAGACAAAGATGATAATATTATTATTGGTAGTAGTAGTGTAGTAGTATAATCATATTATTATTACTGTTATTATATTGTAATATATTAAACAGATAATTGTGGGTTATCAATTCTCTGAAGGGAGCAACCACGTGTTGCCGAAGACGACAATTTAATATTCGTTATTCATGAAACGCAATAATATAGAATTATCATTATTATTTTTTTTTCTTTCACTTTTATTTCCATTCAAGAGGACTACATAAGATAATAATTTGAAGGCGATGCCGACCGTGACAGATTAGCTCAGTCCACGTGGCATTTATTTGTTACAATAGTAAATAATAAAAAAAAAAAAAAAATACTATTACCAAGTAGTAGACTGTATTATTCGTTTTGCGGTAAAGGGTTTTTTACTTTAATTTAATTGTACTTATTATATTTTTTATT